CCCTCATCATCCTCTGGGGGCTGGGGGAACTGTGGGTGACACGCACAGGGCCCAATCTGTTGCTGTGCAGGGAATCGGGCCCTGACTGTTCTCCCATAGGCTGCACTGGGACCGGTGCCCATCCCGGGGTCAAAGGCAGAACCAGGCTTGGGGTTTGGAGCCAAGGTTCTGACTTGAGCAGAGACAGGATGTGAGCCAGAAGTTAGGGTGGAGGGCTGAGGCCCCACGTGACCGCCAGGCCAGCCCGAGGTGGGTGTGACAGGCTGGCCAGGAGAGGGCACACAAGCTGGGGCTTTGACTGGGGCAGGGTGACCGGGCGGGGCCACCCTCAGAGGCCAGGCCTCAGGTTGTAGGGTCAGGACACATCTCAGAGGAGTGGGCCTGAGGAAGCTGGTCAGAGGTGGTGGGTAGGGATCCCTGGGTGGCGCAGCGGTTTGGCGCCTGCCTTTGGCCCGGGCGCGATCCTGGAGACCCGGGATCGAATCCCACGTCGTCGGGCTCCCGGTGCATGGAGCCTGCTTCTCCCTCTGCCTGTGCTCTGCCTTTCTCTCTCTCTCTCTGTGACTATCATAAATAAATAAAAATTAAAAAAAAAAAGAGGTGGTGGGTAGTGGAGCTCCAAGCACCGCAGGAGCAGAACAACGGAGTTAGAGACAGGAGAGATGGAGGTGTGGGAGGGGCTGGATAGGCCTGGCAGGCCCTGTCCCTGCGCTGAGGCAGCAGAAGCAGTGCCTCCTGTGGTCGGGCCTGGAGGTCAGCTCTGGTTTGGAGCAGAAGCTGTTTGTCCACAGCCCTCCATGACGGCTCCTGGTCCAGGTGGGCCATTGGCACCACAGCTCGAGGGGAGGCTAAACAAAGGCGGTGGGTTGGGGAGAAGAGGCCAGTGGGCACAGGTCACATAACAGGAAAAAAATGAGATTGTGTAAGGGCTCGAGGGAGTGTCACTCTGGAGGAAGCCACCCAGTGGTAAGTGAGTAAAGAACATGGGAGACTTTCCTTGGGGAAGCCTAGAGACCAGGGGGCTCCACCCCTTGGGGGAGACTCTCAGAGGAGAGGTGATTTATTCAGAGTTCCACTAAGATTCATCTTTGGCTGCACCATGGTGGTGACAGGCAGCGTGTGTGGCACAGGCCACACCGGGACCTTCTACAAAGCCCGTCCTTAAGCTCTTCCTATGGTGTGAAGGAACGTAGAACTAACAGCCAGTGCAGGCAGGTCAGGGAGGGACAGTGTGCAGCGGAAACAGACGGGCTTGCTCTCTCCCAGAAAGGCTGCTGCAGGGCCTGGTCCTCCCAGCCTTAAAGGACTTACCCACCAGGCCTCTGGGTACCACCAGTCCTGCAGGCTCAGAACCAGATTTGTCAACTGGCCAAAATGGATCCTTCTCTCACAGAAGGAGTCGTACTGACCCAGTTCCTGTGACTCATGTATAAAAAGTCAACATATCCTTTTCTATTGAGAAATGAATGTCCTACAGACCAACTTTTTGCACAGACGTGATTAGTGCATTTTTGTTTCTAGGAAGCCAAAGTCCACTTGATGAAAATGGAGTTGGAATATGGGAGTTGGAGCACTTGGATACTTAATGGCCTTAGACTGTTCCAGCCGATGTAGTCAGCTCCTCTGTGGGGGTGGCTTCGCCAGCGGACCAGATAGTCCCAAGTTGTGTTAACTAAGCTCCTTGGACTGTTTGAGGGATGTTGCCAGCAGTTATCCCCGTTGTTTCTTTTCTCCTGTCTCCATGATTGAACAAGCTCTTAGCCTTAGCGATTAGCACTTTTTTAAGAAATAGCATTTAAAAAAAAAATTCAATCAAGGGGCGCCTGGGTGGCTCAGGTCATGATCTCTGGTTCCTGGGACCGAGTCCCACACCAGGCTCCCTGCTCAGCAAGGAGTCTGCTTCTCCCTCTCCCTCCGCCTGCTACTCCCCCTGCTCGTGCTCTCTCTCTGTCTCTGTCAAATAAATACAATCTTAAAAAAAAAAAAATCAGAAGAGAAAAACCTTTCATTCTGTCTTATCAGGGTTTTTTGACTGCAAGAGGTGAAACTTTGGTTAATGTAAGCAAATGTTAATTTATCAGAAGGATACGTGAGAGACTGTATCTGGGTTCTGCAGAGAAACAGACGAGGCTGGGAGAGAGGGAGAGAGAGAGAGAGAGAGAGAGGCAGAGACAGAGAGGTGTATTTGAAGCAATTGTGTCACATGGCTGTGGGGGTTGGCAAGTCCGCATTTTGCAGGCTGGCAGCCTGGAAACTCAGGCAGGATGTCCCTGGGGCGACCTTGAGGAGAATCCTTTCAGCCTACCTCGTTCTTCTCACATTTCAGTTCTGGAGGCCAGAAGCCCAGGGTCCAGGTGTCCGCAGCGCTGGTTCCTTCGGAGGGCTTTGGGGAAGAGTGTGCTCGGGGGCGCCCCTCCTTGGCTCATAGATGGGGTCTTCATGGTCACAGTGTGCGCTCCCAGTATGTGTCCAAATGTCCCTTTTTCTAAAGATACCAGTCACGTTGGATGAGGGTCCCACCCTGCTCTAGAACCTCATCTCAACTCAGTCTATCTGCCGCCACCCCATTTCCAAATAAGGTCCCATTCTGACGTCCTGGGGGTTAGGACTTCAATATTCTAATTTGGGCGAACACAATTCAACTGGTAACAGAGACAAATTCAGAGGAGAGGAGAGGACCAGGGCTTGGGCATGGCCAGTAGCCAAGGCGGTTCTAGAGGCTTCTGAGCAGGACACAGGACTGACGCGGAGTCTACACAGTCAGGCCGGCCGCTGCCTCTTCGCTTCCCAAGAGGACTGGCCCACGATGTCCACTAGCTCTGGGCCTCATTCAGAATTCAAACTCTAGGAGGGAGCAGGTGGCTGGCTCCTGTGGTGCCACCAGGACGTGTCCCATGTGCATGTGGGGGTCATTCTCGTCTTGCACAGGGGGAGCTGTTAAGAAGAGGGGATGGAGGCAGGTAGCAAATACGTCAGTCCTGGCTCCCTTAAGAGGCCGTCACCCTGTGTGTCCATGGCCTGGTTCTCAGAGGTTTCACATTTGTGGACTCTGAGGCTCGGAGGCCTTGGAGCGGCCTGTGGTTGGAGCGGCCAGAGGTCTGGCTGGGAGCCAGGAGGCCCGGGGTACCCATGTCCTCTGGTTAAGCCCTGGGCCGGTGCCAGGGGACTTTGCAGCAGAGGTTAGGCAGAGACGCCGCCACCCAGCCCTGGGCATGCCCTGCCCCTCCCCCAGCCCTGGGTATGCCCTGCCCCTCCCCCAGCCCTGGGCAAGCCCTGCCCCTCCCCCTAGCCCTGGGCATGCCCTGCCCCTCCCCCCAGCCCTGGGCAAGCCCTGCCCCTCCCCCTAGCCCTGGGCATGCCCTGCCCCTCCCCCCAGCCCTGGGCAAGCCCTGCCCCTCCCCCTAGCCCTGGGCATGCCCTGCCCCTCCCCCCAGCCCTGGGCAAGCCCTGCCCCTCCCCCTAGCCCTGGGCATGCCCTGCCCCTCCCCCCCAGCCCTGGGTATGGCCCTGCCCCTCCCCCCAGCCTTGGGCATGCCCTGTCCCTTCCCCCCAGCCCTGGGCATGCCCTGCCCCTCCCCCCCAGCCCTGGGCACACCCTGCCCCTCCTCCCAGCCCCCCTCATGGTCCTGCACCCCCCAGCCCTACAGCCAAGCCTTTGGTCAGAGGGGACCCTGCCTGTGGCCAGCCTGCCGGGCAGCCCCTGAAGCCCAGTGTCTGAGGGGCCACAGCGCCTGGGATGCGTCAGAGGAATCAAAGATGCCTGAGCTGCAAGGAGCCTTCGAGGCTCAGAGAACGGTGGGCACTTGGACAACTGGCGGCAAACCAGACGCAGGGCTAGTCCCCAGGCCCTGACTCCTCTCCCTGAATGTTTCTCAAGCGGGGTCTTCCCGGGTCCTTTTGGGAGCCCAGGAATTTTTTGCAAAGAATTTTATTTGGGTGTTTGTAATCCAAGAAAAATCTAAACAGTACCATCTGCACGTCCTGGCCCATCGGGCAAAGCTCTTATAAAGGGGATGGGGGGGCGGCTGCCATGGCCCGTCGGGCCCCCACCTGCTCGGGGGCACTAAGCCCGGCGGGCTGTTGGGACTCAGCAGAGCTGAGGAGAACTGGGAGAAGCCGGATGATGTCGCGGCCCGGAGGGAGGCCACGGGGAGGGCAGGGGCCGCGGCTCTGCGGCTGGAGGCCTGTGGCTCCGGACAGCCTCTGGCAGCTCCCGGGCATGCCGCCTCCCTGACACAGCCCTATGATTCGTGCCTCAACCTGGCTCAGCTACTGGGGCCCCGAGCCAGGGGCAGAGTTTTCTAGGCCGCGGCAACAAGATCAGCCATCCCGGGAGCATTGGCTGCGCCGAGGGGGGGGGATGCAGCAGCAACGGGGAGGCTCTGAGTCACCCCGGGGCAGCGGGAGGGCCGGGGGCCTCTCTCTCTGGGAGAGACACAAAGTAAAACAAGCCCCAGACACAAACTGCACCCTCTGCCCCAGGTTCTTAGATCTTCTGCGTCCCCAAATGCCTCTGTTGGCTGCTACCTACTCTCTATTCACGGAGAGGAGTGTTAGAAGGAGGAGCTCTTCCTTCATGCCTGAGGACAGCCCCAGGGAGTTGGGAGGCTGAGCCAGGCACACACCAGGAAGCCCATGGCAGCCATTTGTGCCCTGTGAGGGAGCCCCCTCCCTCCCCTCCCCCATCTCAGGGGACTCCCCTCCCTCCCCTCCCCCATCTCAGGGGACTCCCCTCCCTCCCCTCTCCCATCTCAGGGGACTCCCCTCCCTCCCCTCCCCCACCTCAGGGGACTCCCCATCCTCTCCTCCCCCACCTCAGGGGACTCCCTCTCCCCTCCCCCACCTCTCCTCCCCCAGCAGGTTGGGTCCCTGTGACGTTGGTCACGGATTCTGTTGGGGCCTCTGAGAAGTTTGCCCTGCCCCGGAGGTGTTGACAGATTGGCCTGGAAATCTGGGTCAGCAACGGGCAAGTCCCTGCAGGCGGCCCCAGTGCCCGGAGACCAAGACGGAGACAGGCCTGGCTCTAAGAGCGGTGAGCTCAGCCGCCGACCTAGAACCGGCTGCTATGACACATCTCATTTCCGTGCGCGCCCAGAAACCCTTTCTGCGGAGGCAGCACAGCATCAGGAGAGGACAGGAGCTTAGGAGTCACCCAGTCTCTGGATCCGGCTCAGAGGTTTGACTGTGGGTTGTCACATCATCCCCCGTTCCCTGGGGAGCATGCAGGGTCCCCTCTGGCCGACCCTTTGGCCAATGACTTCCTCTGAAGCTGGCCAGCTGGTCCTGCAGCAGAACAAGAAACCCTCACAGGTCTCAAAATCCTTCCCCCCAGTCTCCCCAGGACAGCGGCCACCACCAAGGACAAAGGTCCGCGAGGGACAAAGGCCCCAAGGAGACAAGGAGCCTCGAAGGGGGACAGGCCCTCGATTGACTTCAGTTGAAGCCGAGCTCGGAGGAGCCTAAGAAGGCCCTAGGGTTCTGCAGGCAGTGGGTACGGAAGTCCCTTTGATACAAATGCTCTGAACAATTCATGAATTTTTCTCACTGACACCTTTATCCATCCACTTGTTCCTCCGGCTCATCTGTTCGGGAACAGAGCAGACCGGTTGTGTCCTTGTGTCCTCGTGTCCTCGTGTCCTTGAGGCTGGAGGAGGAGTGGCCCTCCTGGTTCAGCAGGCCTGGAGACTTCTGGCACCAGGGGTGGGGCAGGAGGCGCCAAGGTGACAAGTCCCCAGCGGGCAGAAATGCACGTGATTTTCCCATTTCACAGATGAGAAAACTAAGAGAGGAAAGTGTCTGACCAAAGTCGCAGACTTTGGGAGGTGGAGATTGAGCCAGGAACCTGGGGAGGCAAGAGAGGAGGGGAAGGAGGGGAGGAAGGAGGGAGGAGGGAAGGGGGGAGGCCCCAGAGCTCATGCTGGAGTCAGCGGGGAAGTGCAGAGAGGCTCCCCGCCCCAGCCGGCCGGACCCTGGGGTCTGAGGCACCCCTCCCGCCCCACGGAGGCCCGGCTCCGCCAGCGCTCCAGCTGCTGTGTGCCCCTGCCCTCTGGTGGCAAGATCTGGAAACGTCACCGCTGCCCAGAAGCGCGTCTAATGGAAAGTGGATGCAGGTCGGTCCAGCGGCTTCTGTGTGCCAGGACCTGAGCTGGGGATCCAAGAAAGAGGAGAATGGCCTTGTGTCTGAGAATGCACCTTTTAGGGGAGAAGCTAGAGGAGGAACAGACCCTGACAATACCATGAGGGAGGGTCATGGCTGGGGGGAGCTTGGGGTGCCACAGAATAGGACTGTTTTAAAACAATGCAGCCCCAAATCTATCAGTAGGAGCCTTTCCCAGCTGAAGGCCCCACCAGACCCAGGAGAAGTTCGCCAGTCCCTGCTCTGGAGGCCCTAGGCTGCCCCTCAGGGTGGGGTTCCAGAGGGTGCATCTGAGAGAGGTTTTCAGCTGTGTCTGCAAAGGAGCCTCAGGGTTTGTGGGGTGAGTGGGATGGGCCCCATGCCTTTTCACTGGCCTACCAGTGGGGCACAGGGACGTGGAGCCTTCCTCCATCTCAGCACTCACTCGCCACTGCAGCAGTGACTGTAGGGAGGCCCATCTGACAGTAGAAGCCACCAGGCCCTGACCTTGGCCAACACCCCCTAGAATTTCCAGGTCCTGGAACCCGTGCTGCCCGGGGAAGACACGTGCATCACTCTGCAGTTCACCTGAGCCCAGGGGCTCGAGACACTCTCACTCCTCCATCTTCCACACTGGAGAGGCCAAGTTAACAAGTTGGTTAAGTGCTTGCTTGGGCCTTATGGCATCCTGTGACCTTTAGACATTCTCTTGGGACTTTAGTGTCCCCATCAGTGAGATGCTGATAAGAAGACTAGTGCCCACTCCGAGGGATGTGGATGGCGCCATAAGGATGAAAGGTATTGGCACACGTAGAACAAGCACGTAGAACAGTGTTTGGCAGCTGGTGAGTGCTGTTTACACCGGCCCTTCTTTCTTTTGTCAGTGTTTGCTCTGTCACTGTCACGGCAGATGGTACCTATGAGGACAGAGGCCCAGGAGAAGGAGGTGTCTCGCCTGAGGACACCATGCAAGCCAGGGCCATGCTGAGTGTGGAGCCTGAGAGTAGGGCTCCATCCTGTGTGCTCCTGAGACCATGCCACAGCCTGGAATTGGTACAGCCCCTCGTGTGAGAGTCCCTGAGCAGCTCTCTTCACTGAGGACTTAGCTCAGGAATCTCCTGTGGGACCTGCAGGGCAGCTGCCATCTGGTTTCAGAGCCACGTCACCCACAGTTTACACTGGCTAAGGGCAATATATCTCCCGAGCTTGTCTTTCTGGAAGCTGATGAGCTCTCAAGCCTCATTACTCGGAGTGTGATTCTTGAACTAGCGGCATTGATATCACCTGGGAGCTGGTGGGAAATGCAGAATGCCAGGCCCTGCCCCAGACCCACAGAGTCAGAATCTGCATTTTAACAAGAGCCTGAGTGATCGGTGTGCATGTTACGATTGGAGGAATGAATGTCTCAAGCACCTGGGCTCAGGTGGGCCATGAACTGCAGGGTGATACTTGTGCCTTCACCTGGGCAGCATCTATGCCAGGATCTGGAGATTCTAGGGGTGATGGCCAAGGTCAGGGCCTCATGGCTCCTCCTGACAGCCAGGCCTCCCCACAGTCACTGAAGTACTGCAGCACTGGCGAAGGAGTGCTGAGCTAGAGGAAGGTTCCAAGTCCCTGTGAGCCTCCATCTGCCCCGGGGGAGTCAGGAATCTGAGCTGGCACTTGAGGGGAAAATTGGAATTGGCCAGGCAGACCCATGGGGGAGGGTGCTTCAGCGAAGGAAGCTGCCTGTACCAATTCCCAAGCTGGTGTTTTCAGAGGATGGGGTTGGCAGACCTTACTCGAACACCGTCAGGGCCCAGGCCCATGCGTTCAATGTCTACACATTCAAAAGTTATAAATCAAGTTCATAAACAATTAAACTATGTTCCAGCCTCTTACCTTGACAAATAAGCTTCATAGGGACCTAGAAGTCCAGGATCAAATTTAGAATTTTTGGCTTTCTTGGACTTATATGCCCAAACAGGATGGTGTGGAGTGAGCCAGCCCCTGCCCACCCTCTTCCTGCTCTGCACCCCCACTGCACCCCACCTGGAGGACATGTGCAGGCAGGCACACAGCCTACCCATCACGCACCCCATCCTACACACAGATCTCTCCCCGGTGTATGCAAAGGGCTGGGTAGGCCCCAGGGTAATAGATGGGGTGGGGAACCCAAGGAGTCCCTGGAAATGAGGGGGGGTGGGGAGGGCCTGGGAAGACTCATCATAACCCCATGAGGAAGGCTCCAGCTGGAGAGGCCCTGTGACAATTAGACAGCAACACACCCTCACTTATAAGATACACGGATTTCAGGGATATTAAAATGTGGAAAAAAAACATGCATCTCCTATTCAACATCCAGTTGCCTTCTGATTCTCTGCCCATGACAGTTTGTTTAAACTGAACATTGCGTTGCATCTGTAGGTCAATTTGCCCAGCACCAACAATATTAACAATTTTAAATCTTAACAATATTAAGTCTTCCAATCCATGAAAATGGGCTGTCTTTTCATTTATTTAAGTCATTTAAAGATGTTTTGCAGTTTTCCAAGTAAAAGTCTTGCACTTTTTATTTATTTATTTTTTAGATTTCATTTATTTATTCATGAGAGACACAGAGAGAGGCAGAGACACAGGCAGAGGGAAAAGCAGGCTCCCTGCAGGGAGCCCCATACAGGACTCGATCCCAGGACTCCAGGATCATGACCTGAGCTGAAGGCAGATGCTCAACCACTGAACTACCCAGGTACCCCCTTACTCTTCTTTATAAAGTGTTCTTATATTCATTTCCTCTTCGGAGCCTTGCAAACCCTCTGTGAAGTAAGTAGCTTGGTGGTCATTATTAATCCATTTTGTAGATTAAAGAAGCCTCAACCAGTTAGTGGCAGAGCTGGGATTTGAACCTGTGTCCCCAGTCCTGCAGCAGAGCTAGGCCTTGGATTTGCTCTGGTGGTGGCAACTTATTCCAGCTCCTCCCTGCACAGGGGCAGGACATCTCTCCTCCATCCTCCGTGGGAGGAGCTGACTGGCCAGGTGGCAATCTCCTCTTCCCCACTGACTTGGAGGGAGGAACAGCAGGGCTGGAGCCAGATGCTTAGGGTCAGGGAAGGACGTCCAGAGGAAGGTTCTCCACACAGGCCACAGGCAGGGAGGGAACCTCCTTTGTTTAGTGTCCTCTGCCCTTGGCTGCAGTAAAAATCATGAGTGCTTTAAAAATTCCCAATGTCCAGGCTCCTCGTCAGACCATTTCAAGCTGAAGTCCAGGGAGCAGGGCCCAGAACTTGTGATTTTGAAGTGTTTAGGTGAGGTTGCCGCCAGGGTGGGAACCACTAGGTTAGATGTTGAAGTTAGAAGTCAGTCCTGAGCCATGGCTCTGCCAGGGCACACACGGAGTGAGACAGGTGGGTGGCAGGGCAGAGAGTGCAGACTTTAGATCCACGCAGACCAGGCTACCATCCCGGGCATGAAGCTTGGTTCTGTAACTCTGCACACTTCACCTCTCTGAGCCTCGATCTACTAATCCGTAGGAAGGAGACAAGTACACCTACCTTGACAGGTGTGGTCATTCTCTCCTCTCCTTGAGCCTGGCCTAGCCTGGGACTGCTTTGACCAGGAGGGTACAGCAGAAGGGACACTGCACCAGCTCTGAGCCTAAACTTCTCCCTCAGCCTCTTCCCTGACTTTTCTGGTAAGGAGAATAAGACTGGGAGGCAACTTGCCCAAGTGGAAGGAACAGCATGCAACCCTTCCTCTTGAGCAACAGACTTGGCCAGGCTTTCCAAGTGTGAGTCCTAGTTCGGCCTCTCCCCAGCTGTGTAACCTTGGGCTGGTTCATTAACCTCTCTGTGCAGATGCCTCCTCTTTTGTTAAGTGCTGATAAAATGGGCTGTTGTAGGGTTTAAGTGGGAATGGCACCAGCCCTGTACGCCCTGCCCTGTGTTAGCGGTTAGGCTCCCAGTGGCTCCTACAGGCACCAGGGGGCAGCGAGGTCTTCCCCGGGTGGGGGCCCCTTGGCTCTGTCCTGATGCAGTGGCTGCAGGTTATTTTTAACCAGGAAGCTCTGCCAGCCCTGGCGGAGAGGTTATTTGGGGCCCAGCCGCAGCTGTGCAGGTCTGTGGGCTTGTTTTTGAGGAGGAAGGGCAGAAGGGCCTGGGAAAACCCCCTGTTTCCCACTGGTCCCCTCTTTTCCCCTCTGGAAACAACAGACCATGCAGGGGGTGTCAGGGTGGGGCAGGATTTCCCCTCTTGGGGAGGCCCTCACTTCCCCCCAGAGCTCATATATCCGAAATCAGCTTAAAGCCTCCGACGGGCCTGTGGGGCCTCGGAGGTTCCATCCTCTTTGCCAAACCAAGGGCACCGGGACCCCACTTCCTGGAGGCCTGGGCACATCCTCCAGGTTCTCATGTGCTGCCCACGTCTGACCAATTCCCAAGAGCCTTGGGGCTCCTGCACCTCCAAGGAGTCTGTTCTCTGAGCTTCTCCCTGGTGAGAAGGCTTCTGAGAAGCTCAGACAGCTTCTTTTCTTTTTTAAGATTTTATTTATTTATGAGAGAGGCAGAGGGAGAAGCAGGCTCCACTCAGGGAGCCCGATGCGATGCGGGACTCGATCCCGGGTCTCCAGGATCACGCCCTGGGCTGAAGACAGCGCTAAACCGCTGAGCCACCTGGACAGCTTCTTTGAGGAGGCCTTTCTCTCATCATTAGAGCCCTTCCACCTTTGCAGCTTCTGTGTCTCCTTTGGTCACCCCTCCCCCACCTCAGTGGGCTCCCCCCTCCCCTCCCCCATCTCAGTGGGCTCCCCCTCCCCTCCCCACCTCAAAGGGCTCCCCCTCTCCCCTCCTCCACCTCAGGGAGCTCACTTCTCCCTTCTCCCCTTTGTAGAACTAAAATATCAAATCTCCCTTTTGTCCTACTTAGAACAACTTCCACCCTCCTGGAAGGCCCTGGGGGTCACTTAAGGTCCCCCCCCCCACCCAACAAAGACAGTCCTTCCCCTTCCACCAAGAGGCATTATGATACCAGTTGATAAACTTTCAGGGCACCTGGGTGGCTCAGAGGTTGAGCGTCTGCCTTCACCTCAGGGCGTGATCCCGGGGTTCTGGGATCCAGTCCCACATCTGGCTCTCTGTGGGGAGCCTGCTTCTCCCTCCGCCTGTGTCTCTGCCTCTCTCTCTGCGTCTCTCACGAATAAATGAAAAAATCTTTTTAAAAAATCCTTTTCACTTCATTATGTAATATTTGAGTTTAAGCTTTGTATGTATTTACTCCTTTGACTTGTATCCTATTTGGAAGACTAGAGACAACAAAAAACAGAAGGGCTACTCCTAGTTTTTAGCAAAAACATCCCGCTTCTCTCTCTCCCCGCCAATTTTTCCACCATGGGTTGCGGTGCTCACCAGGTGCCCAGGACTTTGGCAGGGCCTTCCTCACCACAGAATACCCACATCGCGAAGTGCTCAGCAGGAGGGGGCGCCTCCAGGAGGATGGAGAAGGAGCTCAGCAGAGCAGACAGGGCAGGGGGCATGACTCAGCCCACAGGGTGCTGAATCTGGTGCTGTAGGGGCCTGAGAGTTGATCTGACAGCAACTGACCGGATCTTTTTTTTTATGATTTTATTTATTTACGTATTTGACAGAGAGAGAGAGAGATTGAAAGAGAGCGAGCGAGCACACAGGCAGGCCGAATGGTGGACAGAGGCAGAGAGAGAAGCAGGCGCTGAGCAGGGAGCCTGACTTGGGACTCAATCCCAGGACCCCAGGGTCACAACCTGAGCTGAAGGCGGACGCTCAACCGCGGAACCACACAGGCGCCCCGATCAGATCTTTTATTGTGGTAAAATGTAAATTGGTTTTCCCATTGTAACCATCTTTAAGTGTACTGTTCAGTGGTGATTGGCTTTTCTAGCTAAGGTAACATTTGTTCAAATGAAATCTTAAGCAGAAGCCTGATATGAGACCGTTGGTGCACGGAAAGGAGGGCCAAGGCTGCCCCCCCATCAGACATCTGACCCCCTCATCCACTGCCCTCTGGGCCTGCTCCCATCCTCGAGCCCCATATCCACATGGGGATCCCTGGCCACAGGTAAAGGCAGTTTAGACAGTGGCTCATGGCGGGTTTGGGTGGTGGACAGGAAGGTGCTAGGCCTGAGCCTGCCAGAGAGGAAACAGGACCACGAGATGCTGCTGAAGCATCGAGAGCAGCCCAGTCAGTGAGAAAAGGGCCTGCTGCCTGGTGGAGCTGCCTCAGAGGTACACTGCTGAGACAACCAGGCGTCTGGGGGCTGGGCAGTGAGCTCAAGGTGCAGGCCCATGGGGGAAGGCACCTGGCCATGGGTCACCCCTGTCCCTGCTGGGGAGTCTCGTCCAGGAATGTTTGGCCTGAACAGGGCCAACTGGCTCCATTGAACATTTGTGAAATATTAAGACTTTGCCCACTTGGATGAATTTCTCCTGACTTCTGGGTGGAAAGCAGGTCGTGAGTGAATCCCATGGGTGAGGTCCTTCGGTCCTCTGCCCCTGCCCTGAGGAGGTAGCAGACATGAATGAGGGAAGGGCCTGCAGGGAGGGAGAAGGAAGCCCCATGACCTTGGCAGGCAGGCTGGGTGGGCTGCCAGCTGCAGAAGGAAGCTCGAAGTCAGGAGAAGGCGCCTCAGGAAGGGATGTGGTACATTTGTCATCTCTGCAGCGCACACATCACACACCCCAACGTGCTCTCCGGCAGCACAGGGGTCTCTGTGTGGCCTCGCTTTGGTCCCTAGGTTTCCTGGAGGGCCAGCTGGGGCCAGAGGTGGCTCAGCTGTAGCAGCCCTGTCCACCACCCTCATACACTAGACAGACACATAGTGCATGTTCTGTTTGGGCAGTGACCAGGGCAAGGACAGAGGGCCTTGTCTTGTAGTGCCTGGCCTCCCCTCCCCTAGCCCACCAGGGGTCTGTCCTGGTTTGGGGACACTTGTCTGGGTCAGAGTTCTGGAACATTCCTCAGGGTTCCTTGTGGTCAGTTGTGGCAGACAGGGACACAGCAAACATGGGCAGGGCTGCGGTGCTCTTTGGAGCCAAGGAGGGCCTGATGTCAGCCCCCCAAATCCCCTCCCACTGATCCTGGAGCTGCTGTGCTGTGCTCTCCTGGTTGTTCGAAAACTTGAGACAGAGCCCAAGACTCGGGGTTTTCCTGGGAGCTTCTGGTATGCGGCGCTGTGATTGATTTTATAGTAAAAGAGCCAACATACTTTAAGGAGGGAAAGGAGCCAGCCAAGAGGTCTTCTGACCGAGTTGAAAGCTGTGGTGAAGTCAAGGGGGATGCCGAGTCCCCAGCCTGCAGCAGGCCCCTGAAGCCACATACTGTGTGTTTGGCAGCACTTCACAAAGATGCCAACAGACCCACCTCTTCACTCGACGCAGGCAAACTTCTTGAAAAAGAACAGAAAAGTGAGCCCCTGAGCCTCTGTTCCAGGGACTGATGCCAGCTGCCTTCACACATGGATGATGCATTGAAATCCCTCCCACCCCAAGTGCCTGATGCCAGAAGCATCTGAAAAGCTTCTCAGAAGAATTTAGAACAACTTCAGGGGCAAATATTGGAGGTTTGGATGAAAACAGTCATTTTGAGGAAAGCCACAGGACGGCAGGAGAAGGTTCTGGAAGAGAAGGCAGAGAGCTGCAGGTGACATGGGGACATAGGATCTCTGAGGGGACGCAGGCTGAGGACACCTTTTCCACTCACTCTGTAGAACGTCGCACGGATGCCGTTAACCTGGAACCAGACAGAGTGAATTGGGAAAAGGAGACCAGAACTACCAGACCAGAACTCATGGATGCTGTCAGCTTGGCCGCTTCCTCCCAAAGGCTTGAAGGAGGAA